TGTTTAGTGCATGTGCTTTATTGTTAACTGCGCACAACAAAAAGTGAAAGTATTCTTCTGGTAGTGTCCCTTTAAAGATGAAGCTAACGAAGCCTTCATTTGGATATCACTAGAACACAATGTACCAAACACAACTCTGGGGCGATCATGTATTTTTATGTTCCAGTCTGATTTGTAATAAATCTCTGCACAGGGCAATTTAAAGAGAAACTCGGAATGAGTTGGCTCTTTGACAGCAGCGGCTCCCACTGCGACTTGAGGTGCCAGAATGACACATTGCAGAAAGGGTTTGCCACTGTTTCAGAACAGAATGCATTCGTCTTCTGCCAGGTAGGTCTGCAGCTTGATCCGCCTCGACGAATTGAAGACCTGGGAATAATAGCATGATGTTCAGCGCCGCAAGCCGAAATCTTCTTTTCATGGCCAGATTACACGCGTGTAGTAAAAGGAGAGGAAACGTGACTGGCATTTAAAAAGTAGGGAGCTATTCAATTAATCTTATTACCTAATCAATTAATCAGCTGCATGGAAAGATACTGTCTTTCACCACATCTGACTCCTGGTCTTTCCGCTCCCTGTGTGAGGTGGTTAAGGGGTTAATATCGCAGGTGTGATCGATATTCACGCCTTTTCTCCCATCCTCTGTGTAATGATGGTTTAGGGCTATCTCCAAGCTCCAGGCTGTACAGAGTTATGAGCAGTCCCCATGGTACAATCAGGATTTTGTTACCTCGTCTCTGCAGGGATTTTCCACTGTTGTCCTTCTTTAGATACAGAGACAATGCCAGGGCATTTTGAACCAAACGTGAGAATATCAGCAGCTCTCTGTATGTAGCTGCTCTGTGTACCAAGATAACATACCTCCTCTGTGTACCATGATAACATACCTCCCTACATACATCCCGGAACATCACTAGTGACTAGACTTCTAGACTTACGCACAGCAAGAAGATTCCGCTTGGTCAAACCACTTTTTTGGTAAATAGAAATATTTTTTGGAACACCTGGATTTCTGCCAAATGTTGGTTCGGCTCGGCAGAATTTCGTAACCGAGATTACAATTCAGGAACTGAATGAGAAGACCAAAAAATGTTAGGAAAATGGCTCAATCAGAACTTGAAAATCTATACATAATATGATAATATAATACTATGAATAAAATGTATATATGATAATCTATCTATCTATCTATCTATCTATCTATCTGTCTGTCTGTCTGTCTATCTATCTATCTACCTTTTCTTTGTGTCACAGCTCAGAGTTTGGGAATTCAGCTGATTAGCCCAAATTTAACCAAATCAGCCCAAATTTGGCCAAATAGCACTTCGGCCCAAAATAAAACTCCAGGTCTACAGGTGGCACAAAATGTGTTACTAGCCTGCCCCTCTCAGAAGGCCCTCCTCCCACCCTTTTTTCCTCCTGTGCCAATCTTTTGGCAACGTTGGCAGAAATTGATAAATAGTATGCTTTAAATAATGGAGGCAGGTAGTCAAATACATTTTAAAACATCATAAAAACTGTTTAATCATATTACAATCTTGATAAAACAATACAGAGAACACTTATTTAGCATTATCAAAATAACTGTTCTCAATAAATCAAAATACAATGCTAACAATAATTGTACATTATTGTGGCTTACCTCTGCTCCATGGTGGCAACCATCATTTTTTTTTCCTGAGGACGATGTATATCACATTTCTAAGAAGATCATAAATCCGTAACTATTATAAACCAATGTAAAGTCTGTGCCCAGGAACAAAGGCTAGGGACTGTGAGCGGAATTTTCAAGACAACTGGTCAATGTATAATAAAAATAATAAAGAGAGCCAGGAATATAGTTACACAGGTTGATACATCACTCTTGCACGCTTCCAGATTTACACTTAGAACATCCACAGCTCAAAGACAGCCATTCCAATCAAAATGATTGATTCTCGCAAAGAAATAGCTAAAACCCCTGCAAACACAAGGCCACATGGGAGCCTCTCATTTCTTTGATTTACACATCGAAAAAGTGGTGCACGGTAAGTGTTTATACATCATTTCAGACACTAATAGTTAACCCTTTGACTTACCTGTGGTGGCAACTGGGCTTTGCACAAGACAATATGTTGGTATCAATAAAAACCATTGCAAATGAATACATATTGTGCACACGTCCAGTTTTTTATTCATACAAATATTGGTCTATTTTTTGGTAATCCGACAGTGGCCAAAATTGCAGTTTTATGGAAAAAAGGTTGCTGAAGACATTCTTTGTGTTGGTAATGGGTGAATATTTATAACAGGCAACCAATGAACTCTGCACTGCATGTCCTTCTTAATGGATAATTCAGGGTGTAATATTAAAAGCCTGCCAGTAAATAGCAGTATTGAGTAACTACAAACACATTCTGTTTGCTATGTCCTCTCTATAATGCTCTTGGACAACTCTCTGACTTTGAGTGCAGTAGAGAAGTCATGTTTTACTTTCTTTTCTTTTTTTTACATTCTGTATTTTTGTTAGTGCAGCGATATTCATACAAGCTGGTTTAAACATAACAGTAGAACTATGATTGACAATGAAAATCAGTAGGAGATGTCAGAAATACTGCTCTTTTTTGTGTAAAATAAAGTAAATAAGGAATACATAACATGTGACACAGTATGGCAGGGAAGGTGTAATGCTTAGGGTAAAACGGTGTATAGCACGTCATAGTTAGTAAAGGACTTTGGACCCCACCGAAATACAAACAGATGGGGGAGTAAAATTGACCACAGTAATAATTACACAATAGCTCATGCAGGGAAAACCCCATCTGCTCGGCAGGAATCATCCAACTCCCATCACCGGCAGGACACAGTCCCATAATACGGATGCAATGCTTGTAGCCTATATCTCACACAGGCTTAATGCCTTGGATTAGCTTGTTGAGCATTCCCAGCACATTTCATGCCGGATGGTGGTAAGAAGACAAGGTGATTTGGGTAGTCCGCCAAGAATGGAGATGTAGTCCAGCTGTGTGGGTCGCTTGAAGCTGTGTTAGCGAGGAAATGTATTCTGTACGTGGCCTCAGTGCCGAGCATTTTGCTTGGAGAGGGTGTCGATGGTCATGCGGGAGTTTGCCGTTCCCAGAGTGTGGCCAGGATGTGACAGGCTCAGTAGCCATTTTAACAGGTAGGGGATTCGTTCAGCCAGTAAAGCCAATAGTGGGGCACAAGGGTGGTCCGGGATAACCCCTAGCAGTCCAAAGGGGG